GGGCTCGGGGACACGGGCAAAGTTGGCTCGGGAACACGGGTGAAGTTGGCTCGGGAACAAGGGTGAAGTTGCCTCGGGCTTATACCCGAGGTGAAACCGTCTCGGGTGTAATGATAGTATAACTTGTACCCGAGGTGGCCGAGCTGCATCTCGTGGTGATGAACGTGTCCCCGAGGCAAGACTAAGAGTGCTCTGGGCCGGTGTGAATATCTCCTGAGGCGATTAGGAAGTCTCCGAAACAACGGAGTAGAGAGAACATATGCCGAGGTGTTTCTCCTATCGATGTTTGGCTCGGTCTCAAGATATGGGTGAAACCCGACCCCAACACACATTCAGCTTGAAGTTTAATGGAATGTTTGGTGAAGAAATAGATATTCCTATTCGTACTAGCCTGGCTGATTTTCTTTCTGGTGGCAATTGATATGTGCCACCCTGGTATTTAGCTAGCTGCATTGCCTCGTTGAATATAAGGAGCTTGCTCAACAAAGTTATCATAGGAATCTATTTCTTGATATCTGTCCATATAATATTTTATTCTATTTTCTGATTTAGGTTATCAATCAACAACGAATGCCCAAGGAACTTCTTCAGAGCAGCCTCAGGCCTATACTAGATTGTTTCAGATAAAAACATTCTTGCAACCTTTATCTGTAGATTATCATGGTTTATGCCTTTATACAAGAATGTTCCATCTTTGTTTTTTCCTCTAAAACAGGAGGTAGTTCTTACGTCTGTATATCAGACGGCAAGAGTTATTGCAAACGTGGCAAAATCGTAAATGACGTGGCAAATAGAATTAGCCAACGTCTTTTATCCACGTGTAAATACAATGGCTCTGTTCCGTAGACTTGTGTTGAAGTTTCTCTCTAAAACCACAAATCTATTTTCCCTCCTCTACGAGAAATCAATCGGAGTTGAATAGTGCGATTCTAAGCAATTTCTTCGTTTCCATGGAGTCTGATATCGAGATTCTGCCAGATGCTGATGCGTCTACGCAGAAGATACGCATGTTTGGAATTGATGATCGCGAAGATAAGGTATCTTGTTCTGTTGTTCGATAAACCCTAAAATTGTCACTGTTGATTCTTTCTTCGATCAAAGAATTTTCGTTTTCTTTGGCGTGTTTCAAGGTCTTCGATTCTGCATGAAACTAAAAAATCGGACATTGTCATTTTCTTTAGACTGTTTTATCATCTTCGGAAATTTTGAAATGTTGTGTTAGTTTTTGATTTAGATGATATTATTTGTTCATGGTTCTGATTTTTCTGTGATTTGGTAGAATGGGAGAAGAAGGATCAAAGATGTTGAAGTTTATGTTCCTATTGTGTATGGATCGATTGCTTTTTATCTTGGAAAGAAAGGTACAGAGTGAGTTTTTTTCTCTCTTTTTTTCGTGTTTTCTATTTCCATGAGTTACGGAAAGAAAGCTACAGAGTGAGTTTTTTTTTTTATAGTATGTATCAAAGAATAAATATGTGTACAACCAAAATATTGCATAGTCGTTGTGACCAATAAAAGAGACCATGAAGGATATCTAGAAAATCAAACGTTCCGTACGGTGAACCTGCTCCAGAATTTTCAAAGAAGGGCTTAGCTTCTTCCGAGTCAGATGCTTCTTTGTCTTCGCTAAGCAAAAGGTTGGCACATCCTTTTGCATTTACTTGAGCGATTATGTACAACTATAGCATGGCTTCACACATGTTTTTTTTTATATTGTTATTCCTTACATTTCCAAACGAGAGCTTAAAGATATTGGACTTTATATTTGACTACACTACATCAAATTACCTGGTTTCCGATAAAAGAGACCATGACCATGATGGAGATATAAGGGGTAGAGATAAACATAGCAAAGAGAGGAGTAACACGGAGAAAGACATGAACGCTCATATATTTTGTCAATTATGTAGTGACCAAAAAGACTTTGCTGAACCTTACTTCACGCATGGATCATCTGTGCATGTGCCTAAGTTTTGTAACTCTTCCTCTTTGTTCTTCGTTTATTTTTTTGTACCCATCAAAGTGGAGAAACAACTTTATTTTAGTATCTAAGCAAATGTTATATCTGCAAGACGACATCCATACATAAATTAAATACATACTTACATATTTTTGGAGGTAATATTGTATTAACTAATTAAATTTGCAAAATTAAAATCGAAGTCGAAGTCAATTTTTTTACATAATAGAGTTTTTTTTTTCTTATCAATGTTTATTAATGATGTCAACTTTAATTACGATTGGTTTCCATATAAATTACCCCGCCAACGTTTTGGAATTTTTTTTTTAAAAAGAAAAAATGTTTCACAGAATAAAAATAAAAATAATTCACGTTTAAAAAAAAAAGAAATTGTGTTTTGTGACCAAGTCATAGATACAAAAATTAAAATAAGTACATATAAAAGACTAGAAATTGGTTTAGTTGTTATATTAGTCAGAAAAAAAAACAAAAGAAAAAGAAAGTAGTCCCTCCGAGTAATAAAAACTGTATAAAGGAGAAATAGAGAAAAGAAAAAAAAAACAGTAGCTTGCGTTTTATTTTTTCGAAAAACTGAAAGAGATAGAGCGCGACGAAGAGAAGTGGGAGATTTGAGAATCGAGCAAGAGAAATGGTGACTCTAGGGTTTGTGATTGATCTTCCGAGACTAAGCTAGAAAGAGCGCTCTTGGTCGGTGGAGGATGTGACAAAGGTAAGTACTCTTACTAATTTCTGAGTGTTTTTTTTTTGCGTGATGAAGATTAGCAAGAGAAAGAGCGATCTTGATTTTGATTTTGACGATGTCATGAATGCCAAAATTTGTTGGAATGATGCCGAAATTTGCGCCTGGAATCCTATAGTTGCTCTTGAAGATCTACGTATATATGCTCTAAATTAGCGTGAGAAAGAGCGACCTTGAATTTGATTTTGACGTGATGAAGATTAGCCAGAGAATGTGGACTTGTGTGAATGATTTCGACATTTGTTAGTGGAATCATGTCGTTTCTCTAGATGAAGAAACCTTAGTGATTGTTTGTTTCTTTTTTTTTTTGGATATATGGACGAATTTTGTGATTGTTGATGTTGAAATTTTCATGTGATAGTTTCTCAAGGATGTGGCTGCAGAGTTCGTGTTCTCGATCATGTTAGATGAGCCTGCTGATAAATTCTTTGTGTTCTATATCACCAAAACTCCTCAAGTAACCACAACTATGATCTCTTAATTTCTACATATTTTTCCTTGTGGTTGTGTTGTTGTGATGTTATTTCTTGGAAACTTGGTGATGAATGTGGCGTATAAAGCTGGTTCTGGAAACTTCAGAGAACATGTTCAAGAAATCTGTGAAGAACTTACCAGTTGTGCATAAGGAAATGGGATCAGAGCTTACTTCAGATGGTACTTGCTCCTCTTGAAGATCTTCTTGCTTGTTTATGTTCTGTCCCTGTTGCATGTTGATGTTGTTGCCTTAATTGCATCTTTTGCTCATATATAGATTTGATCAAGATTCTCACTTACCAGCCCTTGTATACAATGGGGGATCCACATACCATGAAAGAGATCATCCTAGTTACATCCGCTGTGCCTAATCTCGCCTCTAGCGTCTCTAGAAACATTTTGATGGTAACAAGGCACTTACACTTTCTGTGTTTCTGAATTCTGATGATGATTTATAGTGTCTCATGATGTTTTCAATTCGTTTTGCTCTCTTAGGTTGCTAAGGAGAAGTGTGTCTCCTTTGAGTTTCTTTTGGTTGACGACGACCCGTCCCGTGTTCATGAGAAGAAAGAGACCTTCCTCAGAACTCTCTCAGAGATTGACAACTGCTGCATGCGATACTGGCCTAATGGTCAGTTGCACAAAACTACTCTCCATCTCTCTTTTCCTTTATTTTATCTTTGCATTCGCATCCTCCTAATCTATCTTCTTCTCTTCTATGTTTTCATACCAGACTCGGTTTCTATGAAGACTTATGTGCAGGCCCTGTTCAGTAAACTTAATGATGCTAGTGGAGATCTCGGTCACATTCATCCAAACTATTTGTTCCCCAAAGCTTTATGGTTTGGCCAACACCTTTAACTAGCAGTCTAGCATCATGATTAGAACAAAAATACAGTGGGAGATATGGGCACTGGCTTATAGAAAACAATCTATTCATGTGTTTTATAAATGTGACTGGATCATTTATGTTGGTATACAAGGGTTTCAATCAAGGGTACTAGAAAGATGAGAAAAAATTCAAGAAATTAGATTTCAATCAGTTAGAGAATATATATCGACGACGAAAAAGAATTCGAAAGCGTTTGGATGCATGGATAGTGGTGAGAATTCTACTCTATGTTAATTATTTCAACTTGGTAAAACTTAGAATTGTTGGTGTATCTAGTTGTTTCTGTAAATTTTTGATGTTTTTTTGCTCTTGAGTTGCGAAAATTATTAAAAAAAATTTTTTTGTTTTAGAATAAAATGTTAAATTATATTCAAGAAAAAAAAAATTTACATCAGCATCCTTTTAAGACTTTGAAAAAAATAGGGCAGAACGTGAAATTGAGAAACAAAGTTTTGAGAAAACAGAGCAATGAAAAGGGATTGAGAATTTTTTGGAGCTTCCTAGGCTTGAGAGGCAAACCATGCTTGTAGAGCTTGGTCATAGCGCATGTCGCCTGTTGAACAAATAACCGACAGTTAGTTGCGTACATTCTTATCAATCCAACAAATTAGGGTTATTGCAGGACATGGTACTTCTCCACGGCGTCTTACGTTCCGCTCTCTCCAAATAGTGTAAATCGTGATTTGGAAAATGTTCCTCGCCAAGAAACTGTGAACACGATCATGATTTGTAGCCGAGATATAATCTTCAATCTGTTGCCATTCCTCTGTGAAATGAGTGTTGAAAATGTTTTGAGCAAGAGCCTTCCAAATTTTTTAGCCGTATGGACAAGAGAAGAAGAGATGGTCTCGCGACTCTATGGGCGCAACACAGAAAACACATGACACGGTGGAGCCATTATTCCACAGCTGCATTCGGTCCCCCGTTGATAGGCGATTTTGTAAAGCTTACCATGTGCAAAAAGAAAAATTTGGTGTCGCATGAGTGAACCAAACCCCTTTCTGCCAAGCCACCTGATTTGAAATTGTCCTTATATGATTCCAAGTGTCTTTGGTTGAGGAGCTAGCCTTGAAAGCATCTCCCTTACCTCGCCATAACACAGTGTCATCCCTTGCCATGTTACGACTCTGATACGTCATAGCCAGTGCCTCGTCCACATCGTTTAGAGCCTCTATTCGATGGCATCTCCTGCGTCGTTGCCTCCAAGCCTCCCCCAGCGTCATATACCTGCCTATGCTCATGTCTATAACCCCTCTTGGCTGATTTTATCCATTAGTGATCCCTTACCCGTCCAGTTATCGAACAAGAACGATGTGTTTGGCCCATTCTGAACTTCTACTTTACAAAATGTCTTCGCAGGACCTCTATATTTCATTAACTTCTTCCACATCCAAGATCGCAAGCTTGAAGTTATCTTAAAGGACCAGAACGACTCTTTTTTGAGTAACATCATCTTTGACCATCTAACCCACAAAGAATCACTATTTGAGATTAACCGGCATATCAACTTTAAGCAACATACATCATTTGCTTCTTTTAGAGATCTTAACCCGAGCCCTCCTTCCTCTTTGGCTTACATACCACTTCCCAAGAGACTTTTGCTTTGTTTGTGTTTAGTTCTGGTCCTGACCATAGAAATGCCGAGCAGATTTTATCTATATCTTTTATACATTCTCTTGGCAACCGATACACATTCATCCAGAAGTTTATAATGCTCCATAAAACAGAACTGGTGAGATTTAAACGACTCGCAAAGGAGAGATAACGTGCAGTCCAAGTTTCAATTCTACTACGGATTTGGTTGATTAACGGTGAGAGATTTCCTGATGTGAGTCTCTTAGTGACAAGGGGGAGGCCAAGATATCTGACTGGAAGCTTACCTAAGCCAAAGGGATAGCGGCTTACCATCCATTGGTGAGTGCTATCTGAATGTCTTAAATACTAAACGAAAACGAATGTCCTAAGTCCTAAATAATTAATAAAGTTTGACTTAATATTCTTCTTTTTCATAGAAAATCGGAATTGCCAACTGTCTCTGTTTCTATTCCTCAAAAAAAGAAAGAAAAAACCTGTGTCTTGCCGAGACGATGGTTTTCTGTTTGGCGTGAGACACTGGTTTTGGCTATTCCTTATGAACCTGCTTCAATGGTTATATTTCTATTTCAACTGCCAAGATCTATTTCTATTGCATGGTTATACTACGTTGAGTCCCTGAACCTTTGTTTTTGGTCTGATTATATGTATAATGAAAATTTTGAACAAGGTCATGTGAACCACCAGCGAACTGCTTGTTGAACATGGACATGTTCACCATGATCTGCATCTTGACCATGAATTTGTATCACACGTATGATGATTTGTACCAAAGGCTAGAGATGTGAAACCCACATTTTTTTGTTTGGTTTATAAGTATCCCAAAATCACCCCAAAGTAATAAAAAAATCTCACCAGATTACCAATCATTTTTTTTCTTTCCTTTTTTACATAAAAAACTCTATCAAATAACCAAAAAAAACTCATTCAAATCTCTCAAAAATCTAAAATATTGAAATTCCCATTCCGGAATCCTCCAGTCAACTAATTAATTAGAAAGAAATCTACATTTCAAAAAGAATTTGAAATTTCCTAGACAATCAATCCGTTCAATATAAAAAGCACATCCACTCTATGAGTCTTTTTCTCTTTCGTTATAGATCAAAAATGGATGTAAGAGAAGCTATCAAGAAGCAAACCGACGTCGCCATGATCCTCTTCGGGCACGTCTTATCATCCACGCCAAAAGACTCTAACGTCATCTTCTCACCGGCGTCAATAAACTCTGCAATCACCATGCTTGCAGCTGGTCCCGGAGGTGATTTAGTCGCCGGTAAAATCCTCTCCTTCCTCAGATCTTCTTCAATTGATGAGCTCAAAGCCATCTTCCGAGAACTATCGTCCGTCGTCTACGCCGACAGCAGCGCGAGTGGTGGACCAAAGATAAAGGCAGTGAATGGCCTCTGGATTGAGAAATCACTTCCGACTGATCCTAAGTTCAAGGATCTCTTTGAGAACTTCTTTAAGGCTGTTTATGTTCCTGTAGATTTCCGATCAAAGGTAAATTTTCACTTCAATCTCGCTTTTTTCAGAAAGAAAAAAAGAAAATCTAGGGTTTGGCAAAATATCACAAAACTAGGGTTTGGCAGAAATATATAAAATAACTAGGGTTCCGAAAAAAACACGATCCTAGAAAAAATTGCGTTTGGCAAAATTTGAATCTTGAAAAGTATTTTTGAATAGTGGCAAAAACGAAAATTTTGATATAGCTTTTTGATGATGTGAATGAATTGGTATGTATTGTTTCTTTTTTTGAAGGCTGAAGAAGTGCGTAAAGAGGTGAATTCATGGGTTGAATATCACACAAATAATCTTATCAAGGATCTTATTCCTCATGGATCCGTTAAAAGCGACACCAACAAGATTTACGCAAACGCATTGTATTTCAAGGGAGCTTGGCAAAGACAATTTGAAAAGTACAATACAAGAGATAATGACTTCCATCTTGTCAATGGCACATCAGTTTCTGTGCCATTCATGACCAGCTCTGAGAACCAATACGTAAGAGCTTATGACGGTTTCAAGGTCCTCATGCTCCCTTATCGACGAGGCAGTGATGATATTAATCTCAAATTCTCAATGTATTTCTATCTACCCGACAAGAAAGATGGATTGGATGATCTCTTGGAGAAAATGACATCTATACCTGGATTCTTGGTTAGTCACATTCCGAGATATAGAGCAAAACTTGAGGAATTTAGAATTCCAAAGTTTAAGATCGAATTTGGTTCATGTCTTACAAGTGTTTTGAATCGACTGGGACTGGCTTCAATGTCAATGTACCATAAAGCTTGTGTCGAGATCGATGAAGAAGGTGCTGAAGCTGCGGCTGCAACTGCTGTATTATTAGGTTGTGCTCTTAATATGGATCCTCCTAAGAAGATAGATTTTGTGGCTGATCATCCATTTCTTTTCCTTATTCGAGAAGACAAAACTGGGACTGTTTTGTTCGTTGGTCAGCTCTTCGAACCTTCGGAAACTTGTTCGAACTGAGATGAGTATTTAACATAGGTTCTTGGAAACTACATTTCAGTTGAAACGCCGAGATTGTTCAAATTAATTTGGTTCTAGCTAGTTATGTGCGTAAACTTTAATTGATCTCAATATCTATTCAATTTCTTCCGTTTGATTTTCGATTGTGATTTGAATTGAATTAATGGTCTTTGATATTCCTTCAAAATCTTTAGATATAAGTGTTAGTTAAAAAAATTGTCAAATTTTAATTCGTTAGATTTTATAAACTAAGTACATATTTGTTTTTTACTAAATACTACATATTATTAAAAAAAAGTTGAAAAAGAAATTTAAGAAGATTTTTTCTCATATAAAAAGATCTTATATTTTTATTTCAAGCAATAAGAATTATTAAAAATATTTTAATTAATTTAATTGGATTGTTTGATTATATGGATATATAGAAAAAAAATACTGAGATACTGACTAATTGTGTGGATGATAATTTAGATAATTGGTTATTTCTACCCTTAATAAATATTTTTTTCTTTGTTATTAAATGTATTATTTGTAATTAGCAAATATTGTAATATATAACCTCTTAAAGTTATTTTAATGTACTAAACCATTAATATTAGTAAGATATAAGTGTTAGTTTTATAGTTTTTGTTTTAATATCAAATTTGACTATCTCACAAATTTATCTCATAGTCAAATCTTTATACGCTTCCTTTTTGTTCAAGGATATTTTTTGTAAAAAAAATTAGACAAACTTTATTAGGGCCAAGATAAGTTTTCATTTTGTATTAAATAAATATGCTTTTATTATTTTTAATAATAAGAGAAACTATTTTCACTAAGTATATATTAAGAAAACAAGGGAACTCTTTAAAGAAAAGAAAAAGAACAAAAAAAGAAGAAGTTAATTCTTATAGAAAAAAATCGATTTAGATTGATAGAAAAAAATCGATGATGGAGGTTCCGGAAGAAATGATGATAAACATAATCGTAAGATTACCTCTGCAAAGTATCGTTAGATTCAAGTTGGTGTGTAGGGAATGGAAATCACTTACGGAATCTGCATTTTTCAACGATCTCTACCAAAGTATCTCCAATTCAACCTCTTCTAATTGGCCAATACTACATGGAAGTTATAGATGTACGACTTCTTATTTGGAGGAAGTACAACTAAATCTACCACGAGAGCCATGGCATGGTAATTCTCATAACTGGTCTTTCACAAGTGGAGTGATCCGCAAGTATACTCAAAACAATAACAAAATCAAAGAGATTTGGGTTGTGGCTTGCGCTGATGGATTGGTTTTGCTGTGTCTGCTTGATGAGGACATGACGAAACGTTACTACATTGGTAATCCTATGTTACAACAATGGATTCAACTATCCCCTCCTCCTTATCTTACTCAATACCATTTCTTCATTGATTCGGGACTTGTCACACGAATGCACAATGGTGCCCTCTTGAGTTACAAGGTGATTCGAGTATATAGCGAAGCACGACACCTCGATGTTTCTAGAACGTGGACATTTCAGATTTATTCGTCGGAGATGGGAAAATGGAGTGTTCAACACGTCTCTTGTCCTGGTGATGGTGTGTCACAACAGACATCTAATCCCGTTTCTTTGAATGGGAAACTTCACTGGTTCCATGAGTCCCGTCGTATTATGGTTCATGATTTCTTCTCTCATGATGATCAAGTGCGGGAAATATGCCTACCCGCAAGGATGCTAGGCAGTCGGTGGCATCTAAGCTGTATAAGACATGGTTGCGCCTCTCCATGCAATAAGATAATCTGCACCACCTCACAAGGATATTTTGTGCTTATTGAAGCTGGATTGATAGACAAGGTCAAGAGCTATAATGTTAGGGTTTGGAGACTCAAGAGTGATTCATGGAATTGGGAAAAGGCATGGGAAATCAACATGGCATGTGTGGGGCTTGGCCTTAACTCTGTTCCAATGGCAATCAACTATTTTGATATCAACATCATCTACCTATGGGACTTAGACCGCAAATTTTTCATCGCTTGTAATCTTCGAACACATACAAAGTCTCATGGAAATCGTAAACATGGCCCCCCTTACAAGGAAGATACTATGTGCTTGGAGTCACGTTCGTGCATTTCGCAATTTGTTCCATCCTTGCAAGTCGTACCTACATTAGGAACCCATGATGACATTGACCTAGTTCTTGCTCTATATTAGTAATTTTATTATGTTTCTTCATTGAATCTAGCCGTTAACTCTTTAAAAATATTCTCTTTGTTTTCTATTGCTTTCAATGGATTTTGAACTAGTTCTCTTTATTTACTATGCCTAAATTTACCTTTGCGTCTTTTGCATTTACGAAGAAGCGTATGCAAACTAGACCTAGCCTCTCTCGTTTTGAAGTTGCATGATTGACATATAGTAAGTTGCATGGTTTTCTTATACAGATTGAATCAAAATGATCTACACCAATATTAATCTTCATCTACGATTGATTTCTCATCTTCGTCATGCTCTATTAAAAATTCCGCGATTCTACCAATATTTTTTTCATATATATTTTCAAGTTTAGAATAGGAATGCTACGAAAATTGAAAAGGAAACAAGGTGAGAGACTTTGGAGAACAACCCTGCCAATGTCATAGTGGTGTGATGTTACTGATGTGAATCATACACTTGGATGAAATATTTAGATTCAGCATTAAATAAATGAAATTGTTCATACATGAGGTTATTTTAAGATTTGCCTTCACAACAAGTGTTCAAAGTTAAACGCAAAAGTTCTTGAAAATGTTCGTTCTACTTTATATTAATTATTATGCATTGTATCTCTTTTCTCTCTCAGGATTTTGTGGTTTTGTTATGATGTTGTTGTGATCTAACAAGTGGAGAGAATACCAGGTCAAACATGGGAAAAGGCTCAAATTTTTGTTTTGCTTCAGACATAAAACTAAAGCAGTTTGGGCCAAACTTGTCGTCTCTGAGTCATATACTTCATACAGATTTTGCCTATTAATTAGTTCTATGACACTTAAGTACTGATAGATACTTGAAAACAATCAAAAATCCACATTATACCAACAACGCCAACCACCAGTGGCGGAGGAGTGGTTTGCCATTTCTTGACACGCGGTACCAATGGGCAATGATGTGACATGACTAAGATGGGTCAAGTCCACGGATGAACCCGACTCAAAGTCAAGCCTAAGACGTAGACACGTAGTCTAAACATATCCTTTAGATGAAGCCAAAAAGATATCCCGAGGTCGAAAGATCGTACTTACGGTCGATAGAGAAAGAAACATAGGACCTCCCAAATATTGATACTCAAATACAAAAACAATGATCCCGTCAACGCAGAAGAGGAAGCATTATGTAATCCACCTAAACAAAACTGATCATGCTCAAACGCAATAATGCATGTTTTTGAAAATGTTTCTCTTATTTTATATTTAATTATTCATTGTATATCAGTACAAAGGAAGAAGATTTATGCTCTTAAAGAGCTAGCTTATAAAGATAACAAAATGAGATTGAAATGAAATAGCTTAATAAAGCTTTATTCAAATGTAAAGAACAGAGAAAGGGAGAAGCTTAAGTTTGTCTTCAAGAATAAAATAGATTTTGATTTGAATGTGGATGCTTAAAGAGGCAGCATTCATTACATAATGTAACTTACATTCATCCATGACTTACATCAGATATATATATATGAGAGCTCTTACTACAAAATCTAATAACATGGGCTTAGATGGGCTTCTCTAGTGTTAATATGAGAGCCCACTATTAGACTTTGCAAAATTAAAAAAAATTAACAGAAGCTCTCATCTCATAAATTTGAAAATTTTATTTTTATAAAAATGGTAAGAGCCCATGGAGGACTTTCACCATTGGAGATGCTCTAATATCTTTTTCCAAGGAGCTTGTGGATTTAATTTTATGTTGAAGTCCTTAAATATTTTTTTGAGGTAAAAAAACAAAGATTTGAAAAAATCAAACTAGAAAAGAAAAGTAATAAATTGATTAAAAGGATTGGAGAAAATTCAAGCCAAACTAGCCTTTTAAAGTTTCATTTTCAGGTATTAATTTCGTTTTAATTTTAACTATATAAAATGAATTTAAAAAATGATCAAAAACAAATTCTAATTAATGTTTAACATATTATAAAGTATTTTTAGAACTAACAAATTCATCTTAAGGCCCAAAGGCTAATAGTAATATTACGGTCCAAATGAATGGCCCAATTCTATTTGAAATTCTATCTAGAAAATTTCTAAAACATACGAAAGATTTAACCTAAAATAATGTTGGTGAACAACTATTTTGTATAAATAGATGAAATCATATCTTGTAATGTTCATCTGATAAAGTTTTTGAGTGGTCAAAAATACAAACATTTTATTGTTATAAGTAAAGGAGACTGCATTGTTTTTATTTATAAAAAAAAAAAAACTTAAAATCAAAACCCTAAACGTATAAGGTCAAGTTTTGTACCAAGCGAGACACAAAGAGAAAAATCTCAAAAAATGAACAAACCTGATATAGAGATTAGGATGGAGGAAATAGATGTGAATCTTCCGGAAGAATTAGTGATAAACATAATCGCAAGATTACCACTACAAAGTATTGTTAGATTCAAGCTGGTGTGTAAAGAATGGAAATCACTTATGGAGTCTGCATTCTTCCGTGATCTCTACCAAAGTAATTCCAATTGGTCGATCCTTCACGGAAGTTATAGATGTATAAATTCTTGTTTGGAGGAATTAGAACTCAATCTTCACGGAAGTGAGTCATGCCATGGTAATTCTCAATATTGGTCTTTTCCAAGTGGACTGATCCATAAGTATACTCAAAACAACAATAAGGTCAAAGAGATTTGGGTTGTCGCTTGCGCTGATGGGCTGGTTTTGATATGTCTACTCGAGGAGGACATAACGAAACGTTACTACATTGGTAATCCTGTGTTAACACAATGGGTTCAACTATCTTCTCCTCCTTATCTTCCTCAATACCGTTATCATTTCATTGATTTGGGACTTGTCACACGAATGCACAATGGTGCCCTCCTAGGTTACAAGGTGATTCGAGTATATAGCGAAGCACGACACCTGGCTGTTTCTAGAACCTGGACATTTCAGATTTATTCGTCGGATACGGGAAAATGGAGTGTTCAACACGTCTCTTGTCCTGGTCAAGGTGTGTCACCACTGACATCTAATCCCGTTTCTTTGAATGGGAAACTTCACTGGTTCCATGAGTCCCGTCGTATTATGGTTCATGATTTCTTCTCTCATGATGATCAAGTGAGGGAAATATGCATACCCGCCAGGATGCTAGGCAGTCGGTGGCATCGAGATGACCGTGGAAGCTGTATAAGACATGGTTGTGCCTCTCCATGCAATAAGATAATCTGCACCACCTCGCAAGGATATTTTGTGCTTATTGAAGCTGGATTGATAGACGAGGTCAGAAGCTATAATGTTAGGCTTTGGAGACTCAAGAGCGATTCGTGGAGTTGGGAAAAGGCACGGGAAATCAACATGGCATGTGTGGGGCTTGGCTTTAAATGTGTTCCAATGGCAATCAACTATTTTGATATCGACATCATCTACCTATGGGACTTAGACCGCCAATGTTTCGTCATTTGTAATCTTCGAACAAATACAAAATATTATGGAGGTCGTAAACGAGGTGCCCCTAACAAGGAATGTACTATATGCTACGAGTCACGTTCGTGCCTTTCGCAATTTGTTCCATCCTTGCAAATTGTACCTACATAGGAAGCCAAGATGATGTCAATCTGATTCATGCTTTATAATTTGTTATCGGTTTTTTTTCGTTATTGCATCTTCGTTATCTTCGTGCCTTTCTATTTTCTAGTGTTTTCAATTAATTGGCAACTGATTTTATTTGTTTACTATTAATATTCCTACAAAGATATTGTTACTCTTTTTTTTCATAGAAGTATTTGCTTACTCCTTTGCATTTAACAAGAAGCATAAATATACCATTGCATTTCTTCAGCATCTCAAAGATCTCACCGAATAGCTCTTTAATGGAGCCTCAATGTTCGGCTCTGATACTAGATGATATGAACCTTTGTTAAACGTAAAAGACAAAAAAAGATTTAAGGAAAAGCTTCCTTCTAACCCAACTCTCTCTTAAAAAATTAGGTTAATTGTTGGAGAATTAGATGATATTAATCTTCGTTAAACTTAAAAGACAACAATGATTTAAGCAAAAGGTTCTCTTTAACCCAACTCTCTCTTAGAGAATTAGGTTAATTGTTGGAACTTTGTTCTCTCATTAAGAAGAAGAAACCTTATATAGGCCACGATACATTATATAAGAAAAACATCAAAACCTAATGCTATAAGGAAAACTCCCAACCCCTATATTGATTAGAAAACCATTAAACCAAATTAAACCAAAACACCTATACTCTTATCACGTATCATCATTACAGAGTTTCTAAAAGTTGAACAAGAGTTTGTTTTTAGCTTTTTTGATCATTTGAGTTACACAACTGATGCAGACAGCATCTGGAACTACATACTTATGGTGCAACCAATCGGTTGATTCCTTAAGTTTGTTTGCTTTGTTCCTCAAAATTGATTCAGTAATGGTGTTCCAGTGACATGTCTCTTTCATCGAGGTATTGTCCGTTCAAAATTTTCCTCTCCACATTCTAACACACATTTATCCATAATTATAAGTATAGAACTCAGTATGCATGCCCGACTCATATAGGGTGGGCAGAGAGGGGCAGTGGCCTATGGGACTATGAATTTTTTCAAAATTTAAAGGGCCTATACTTTTTTAAAATTGTAAATTGGCTCAAAAATATTTAATAAAAGGACCCAAAATTTTCTACATGCTATTCTTTTATATAAAAAGGGCATATATATTTTCAAAAAGTTTTATAATAAGTCAAAAGTTATCTATAAAATGATCTAGATTTTAACCAAAGTTCAAAAAAACCTCAAAAAAAAAATAACAGTTAGTAATAAAAATTCCAAATTATTTTGTTTTGCCCAAGGGTCCAAATCCTTGTTTGAAAAATCGCTAGGCGCTAGTCGGGCGCTAGGTATGGGCCTAGCGATTAATCGGAAAATTGGATTAAAATCAGGGATTAATCGGGGATTAGTTTTAGAATTATTTTAATATTTTTAAAACATATTAATCAAATATTATTTTCAAAATTGCAGTAAACATATAAAACTGTATTTTTGAGATAAATTTTTATGATTTTTATTAAATTTATGATTTTTATTAAAATTTGAACATAAGTTATTGTAAAACATCACAAACTCCCAATTTAAATGATTGAATAACAAAAATAAAAAGTTTTTTATACTTGCAATCTAAAAATAATCGAGATATGTAAAATTAGGCGGGGAGTAATTGGATTAGGCGAGAAGTAATCGGATTAGGCGGAGAGTAATCGGGTAACTGATTTTTTTAGGGGATTAGTCATTAATCGAGGCGGATAGGATGGGCCTAGCGATTAAGCGGAGAGTAATCGGGCCTAGACGGGGATTTTTAGAACAGGGGTCCAAATTGATGTTGGGCCGGGGATGTCAGTGTGTTTTGCAAACCTTGCCTTTCCAATTGCCTAGATTATAGGTTATATTAATATGTGCATGTATATCAATAGAAATAAAGGGGACTAAGATTGTTCACTTTGGGAGCTCTAACATTGTTTTGGTGCACAGCCTAGTAGAAATTGGGACTTATATGCAGCTGTCAGAGATTTAGAGAAAAACTGTTCTTAGATTAATCATATGTTTTCCAATGTCTATATCAGGAACTGGTTTAGACATATATACAATTGTCAGAGATTTAGAGAAAAATTGTTATTAGATTAATTATATGTTTTCCAATGTCTATATCATGTAACTATATTTCTTGATGAACTCGTTTACTCAATCTACACAAGCACCACATAGTATTGTTTTGTCTAGTTTGAAAACATATAAAAGTATATTAGTATGCATGTTAAGTTTTTACTAATTGTATAAAGGTGAAACTACCTAAAAGCATTCTTACCTGAAAAAAGAAATGTAAAACCGTGTGGAAAATAAAGATTCTAATTCTATAAAAGCTAAAACCTCCATTTTCATATATAATACCTTCAAGCATTTGATAGTTTTCTCAAGTTGAGTGAGTAAAGAACAACATTGCAAGTAAACAATTTCTCCTTTCTAGCTTTCTTAAAAATATTTTTCTTCTGTTTCTTCGTGTCAGAGGGATGGTCCCATTCTGACAACTTGTTCCACGGCTTTAGTTGTGGTAAAAAAATGTTTTTCTTTGAACAATCTTCTTTTTTTTAAAAAATTAATAAAACAACATGAACACTCTAGCTTCATGTTGAGTGGTCTTCCATCACAAATCTATATTATATATCCAACATTTTTTCAGTGGGACCAAATCAATTTTTTTCTCCGGTAAGCTTTCTTATGATCAAGACCGATCAATTGATAACGGAGTTGCAAAGCTAATTTTAAAATTTTTGTTGCTCTAAATATTTCAATTCCAAAATCCAAATGATATTATATCATATATTTTCAAAACATCAAATGGATTTTTATGTAGTTAACAATAATTTGTTTTCCTAGAACTCAATTAATACATTACAACAATTGTAATTAATTAATTAGAGAAATCAAAAAAATTGTCAAAAAATAAGAAAAATATAAATAAAACATAAGCAAACAATAAACAAAAAATAAGCAAATAGGTAACTGACAAAAGAACAAAAATTATAGATCAACTTTGAGTCATCACTTCGCTTGGCATCGCTAACCACTTAGCTACCTTCCATGATTGTATGCCGAGTGGCCTGGCCAATGGAACGAAATTCAGAGCCTTGCTGTTCAGAATGATACGAAATTCCTTGAAGTTTGTGACCTCTTACTTTTGAGTTTTAATATAGTTTTGATTTAATTCGATTTTAAAATTATTTTTTGGCATATTCCGGTTCAGTTAGATTTGGTTTAAGTCAAAATTTTAATTGAACAGGTTGATTTGAAGGTCCCAATATCATAGACTACTCCATGTTAATTGGAATAGACCATAACAAGCGGGAGTTGCTTTGCGGTTTCATTGACTATTCCATGTTAATTGGAATAGACCGTGACAAGTGGGAGTTGATGTGCAGTTTAATCGATTACTTGGGGCTATTCAACGCCTCCAAGAAATTCGAGTGGGCTGCGAAATGGCTGATGACGCTTTGTACTCGACAGGAACAAACAGTGATCAGACATGTTGCCTAAAAGAACAGACTGACAACGTTAATTGACACGCGGTCAGACTTGTTGCTTATAAGAACAGACTGACAACGTTCATTGATTCGGCTTTCAAGTCCACCGGTGTTTGAAGTTTGAGGACATAGAGTATTATAAAAAAAAAAAAAAAAAGAGTTAAAAGATTGGGTCTAATATATCTGTCTTCTAAACTTATATGTGGGTGCAATTAAAGAAAGATCAACCCGAAGAATAGAGATTCAATTGGTGGATGACGAAGATGATGATACATAGAAAGAGACTGAAGAAGATTTGTTAAAACCCTTTGCATATAAAGTCACGATAGTTTGGTGGTCTAAACAAATGACCTGAATTGCAAAAGAAGATAATTAAACAGGATAAGTGAACCGATTTGATTAAACCGGCTGAATAATTGAGATTTCCTGTAACAATATACTCACCTGTTGAGAACATCTTTGTCCCCAAGGATTTGAGGTATTTCTTTAAGAGTTGAAAATCTATACTAGTATTTTTGCAACATTTTGGTGATGGGTGGGTAAAAATGCTTTCGGATATATCGGATACCCGACCCGTTTTTAAAATTCTTTCACAAAAAATTTGTTGGGTCGGGTTATATTTAACCCAACTCATACACCGGATATTCCATATTTAATGATTTAGATATTTAGAAGATTTGATTAAGATTTATAATTATGATTTTCCTATCATCTTTGTTTGATTTGTTTTTAGCAGTTTTAAATCATCATATAATACATAAAGCAAAAAAAAAGAAATCAATTTTTTTTGCATATACTGTGATTCGAAATTTTAAAAACGGACATATATTATCCAATTGACGAAAATGTGTGTTTAACGTTCAACATCGATTAAAATATTTAGACAATGATTCAGAATCATATCATAAATAAGAACATTAATAAAATAAATGAGTTTTTTGGCCAGACGGGTTTAGCGGGACGGGTTTTTGAATCAACAATAGTAAAAATATTAAAATATCATTAACCCGCCTCTTCAATACGGATTAAATCCTTTTTTTTAATACCACAAATATTAGAGATATTAAATCAGTCTCATTTAGAAAAGATTATATAAAACCAAAAATTGTCCCGTGGTATAATATCCCGTGGTCTTAGAGGGTGATATGATTTGTAAACTTTTATATATAATAAATAATCATTAAAATTTAAAATAAAAACAAATCATGGGACGGGTTAAGAAATTACGGAACGGGTTATATTTCGGAAAAGAATTATATGGCAGACGAATTTGAATCAATATTTATATACCGCTTTAATACAGGTTAAATCCTCAGTTTATTAATAATTGTCTCGTAGACTCGTGGTTAGGCCTGGGCGTTTGGATATTCGGGTCGGGTTCGGGTCGGGTTTTTCGGGTTCGGGTTTTTCGGGTATAAAAAATTAAGACCCGTTCGGGTATTTTAAAACTTCGGGTTTGGGTCGGGTTTGGATCGGATATTTTGGGTTCGGATTCGGGTTTACCCGAAGTATCCAAATATTAAAAATTTTGTATCCGACTCTTTGCAAAGTATTGAAAAATACTCAAAAATCTATAAAACTCAAGTATTTTTTAACCGAATCTAGCCAAAAGTAACTAAAACACCCAAAAATTCTTAACATCCAAATAATTTAGGCACTTAAATTTTTACAAGTATAAATATTACTAATATATTATAACTATGTACTTATATTTCGGGTATGTTCGGGTACTTGTTTGGGTTAGGGTTCGGGTCGGGTTCGGGTTCGGATTTTCGGGTTGTGAAGTTTAGAACCCGTTCGGGTATTTTAAAACTTCGGATTCGGATTCGGATCGGGTTTTTCGGGTCGGGTTCGGTTCGGTTCTTCGGGTTCAGGTAATATGCCCAGGCCTACTCGTGGTATACCGTTACTTAATAACAATCGTAAACTATAATATAAATGAATATGTTATAAGGAGATACAATTTAAAAAATATTTTTATACTAACTTTAAAATTAAATCATCTCGCGGTGTACCACGGGTTAAAGTATAGTTTGTGGGTATGGTAGTAGAAAAAATGTCTTTGGACGTTTTGTTTAGTTGGAAAATATCCTTTTTAAATTTTTCTTCCGCACTAACAACTTATAGACCCACTATAAATGACTTCAAGATCTATGTCATGGACATTCCAACACAATAGCTTGATTTTCCTGTAATGTGAAGAAAAACAGTTCTTGATATTTTCATAACTTAAAAAAGAAAACTAAGAACACTGTTTCTATATATGTGACATGTCTATATCCCAATTTCTAAAGGAAATTATAACTTAGTTTATCATTTGATGAAGAAATTTGCAACTAATGATCTAGTAAATTAAGGAAACAATAAATCTAACTATATCACAGCAGTAATGGTATATGAAGAAGAATCTCGATTCATATAATCATATGCACAACTTTGTGACAAACCATATGCTTGAATTTCAGGTTAAAATAAGGGTATGAGAATCTAGATGTATTTCATGGAATAAGTTTCCAGAGAAATCAGCGTCCAAAACTTGATGTTGCTTCGCTCATTTCATAATCTATAACCATTCTATTGAAGCCTCTTTTGGGAAAATTACACCATATTCTTAATTATTCATCGAATAAAATTAAAGTTGCAACGGTTTATCAAACAAATAAACTAAATGTTGCAATGGTTCAATTAAGATTTATATAAAGAGACGCGGCCGTAGAAAATATTTTTTCGGATTGTTATTATTATATAGATTAGTCTACCATTTTTTTCCATTTACCAAGATACTTATTACCTTTTTATGTAAAGGTTTTATTCTTTTGAAATTGTTTTTTTTTTAACTAAATTGTTTTAGAACTTTTACCGTTGGCCTCCAGTCTCCACCATAGATTATATCGTGTTCTCGTGTATCACGATGGAAAGAGAGTATAGAAGATTCACAATCTATTAAACTCGAGAGATCAAAATGTGAAATTGCGGGTATTTTTAATGAAAAAAATGACATGAGTTACATGCATGATGTTTGAATGTTATGGAAAAGCGACTATATGTAAGGTAAAAGTATATGCAAAAGTACAAAAGAGATGTGAATGAGGTTGAAAGTTGATCAATAGAGTTCAAATAAAAAGTCTTGAAAACTCAAAATAAATAAATAAACAAGTTACAAAGAATTTACAAGACAATAAACGTGACTAATTACTTTTATATATTTAATATTAACAAGAAATTCAAACAATCTAATATACACCAGTCTATCTTCAATAGTTTTTGATATATTATCTTGTGTCTTTTACATTTTTTTTATATGTTTTAGTATTTTTCTATTTTATTGTATTTTTCTAATTTTTTGCTAACATATATAAATTAATTGTTTTACGTCAACATATATAGATTAATGAAAACGGTTCAAATACAGTATTCGAGCTTCTCTCAATTTTCACCTAAACTGATTTTGATCTTGAAGCGGTTCAAATATATGCAACCAAAACATGATCTTGCGTACCAATGTGTAATATCTATATATCTTTTGTTCCCAGAAAATAGAGAATTTATTTTCAGATACATACTACCTTCCAAGAATGAAATCATTGTTTTTAGGCATTTTCCATCATGATTTGATTATTACATATAGGCAAATGACGTGTCGTTCATTGAATGGTTACCAATATACATAATGGTCCATAAAACAGATGAAGTGGGTGCGAAAATAAATATACTTAACATCAAAAACTTATGAGGAAATGATAATTACTTTTGTTTTTTTTTACAAATTAGAAAAGAACTTAAGAAGAGTCCCCACATTGAACCACTTGGCCACAGTTACATGAAGACGCAACCATTATGTGGAATTCCGACTCATTGCTTTCAAATCTAATCTTTCATAAATACCAAATTTATATTATTTGTCTTATGGAATTTAATTTGACAATGCAGCTTTAGACATGTTGGGTCCTTTCTCTATATAGTCTTGTCTCCACTTTGTCTTTTTCTTTTTAATTCGATTGATCTAACTGTATGATTGCAAATTGAAATTTTAATTTCATCGTATTTAATATCATTTTATGGTTATCAAAATATTAAAAAGAAACGCATGTTTGCATTATCAAAAACATATTAAATGAATTGGTTGAAAACAAAAATCAACCATTCTTTTTCAATTTGTATGATATATGAAAACCGAATTATTATTTGAATATCTTCATTAGGTTTAATCATAGCAATTGATGGTGGCATGCAAAAATAGACTTAAATATTGGGTCCACACGTAAAGTTGAAGGAAGTAGATAATTTCTTCTTGCTACACCATCATGTAACCAACTACAGTATATAACATCACACATGCTTTGCCACCTCACCCCACCCATCCCACCCTTACTCTACTGTTTTCAAACCCGGTTTTGATTTAACCAATCCGATCGGTTCAACCAAAATTTTTTTAAAAAATGGTTGAGAGTAATTTTAATTTATGTGATCGCTGATATTAAAAAAAAAAGCTATTATAGCCATTTACAATTGTAAGAAAATCTTTATAATTTTGTTATAATAGAAAAATCAATATAATAATGCCCGCTCTTCTTTTTTTTTTTGGTTAAAATAACAATCATCGGTCTAATTGGTTTGATACCATTACCAAATGATCTGGTTTGTTCCCCACTTTCGTTTTAAACCTAAACAATGCTACCCCCACTTCTTTATAACCAATCCCATTTAAAGTGTAGTAAGCTTCTCCACTCACATAGCTATAACAAGAGAGAGAGATAGACATAGAGCAAAAATTATTTTCTTAGAAGTTGCAAAAGCAAAGAGCCTAAAGATGATGAAGGGAAGCAAGTCTTATACGGAGTATTCGTCATCTTTCTCAACCGATGAATTTGGTTATGATCAGAACCGCTCAAACTCCTATAACTTCAATGGGCCTTGCATCAACACAGATCCAGAGATGAAGAGAAAGAGGAGAGTTGCTTCTTATAATCTCTTTGCCACGGAGGAAAAGCTTAAAAGTACTCTCAAGAACAGTTTCAAATGGATCAAGAACAAATTTTCAGGCGATGATAATAGTATCCGGTACAACGTCTAGATTAGTCCACTTTGATCTTCTGATCTTTTTCTTCTTCTTCTTTCTATTTTTATTACACTAAAGTCGTAGTGAAACTTAACATGTAAATTAAGTGTGTATCTTGTGTATGTGTGTTTAAGATTTGTGTGTTACTCAAATGGAAATGTTAATTTGCTTTAATTCTTTTTTTATGGTTTGTTTCTTTATTTTTAATTAGTTGAGTCAATCCAGATTAAACTTTTTAATTGCTAATTTCAATACCCTTAATGAGTGTGTCTTCCACTTCTATTCTCAATCACGCTAATTACAAGATGAGACATTTTTAAAAAGGAAAAAAGATTGCTAGCTACACGAAGTATAAAAGAATACATGATCACACATGCCAAGTTTAAAAATGGATCTTGAACTACATAAAGTAAATGTATTGCATGTTCACATATACCAACTAACATATGACATGGTGCCAACACCATAACCATTAAATTCTGATGTACCGTTCACCGGAATTCGACAACGTCCGATGTTGATCAGAAAATATTCAAAAAATATTATTTTTAATATTATTTTTCTTTTTGACTAAAATATTTAAATAATAAAACTGCAAAAAAATTTAACTAAAATAAAATCTCATCGTCTTCCTCTCCTCTGCAAAAGTTCTAGATGTGGAAAAATTGAAAAACAACTTTTTTCCCTCTCCATACCACATAATCGCATCTTTATGGATCTAAAAGTCCATTTGGTTATTTATATACATGTTTTATGATAAATTGATGAGAGTAAGAACACAAAGGTGTTTAGGCCGTTCTTCTAGACTTTTATTTTCTGAAGTTACTTTTGTAAACTCTACTCCTCCTAATTGGGCAACCAATCAAGGAATTATTTATTGATTAATGTGTGGTTGACAAAAAAAAAAAAAAAAAAGGTGTTTAGGAAGAATTATAATTAGACTCTCATAAGATTCATGTTCTAAAATACATCGATATCTATATTATTAATTGGGAAGTATTGGATAATAAATAACCTTATAAAGGGTAAAGAATTACAAAAAATGCCATTGGTTTTTAGTGTTTTTAAATAACTTCATTAAGGGTACAATAGTAATCACAAAATTAATATATTTAAATAAAAAATAGTTTAATTCTTTTAAATACTTATTAATTTCCAAAAAAAAAACTAATTTTCTCTCTCTTATTAATTATAAACGAAAATTTGAAATTAATTTTTTAAAAATTGTTAACCAATAGGAATTGAAAAACTAAGATTTGATATCCAACTAAGATTTTTTCTAAACCAATCCTAATAGACTATTCTATATCAAAAATACAAATAAAAATAATATCATTTTAATTCAAAATTAAAAAAACTATCATTTAAAAAGATTTATCAATGGAGGATTTTAAGATTGAATTTAAAATTTGGTAAAAAAATTAAATGCAAATATTTTAATATTCAGTTTTGTTATAATATTTTTATTACAAATTTTGAAATATAAAACGAAATTTTATTTCATAATTTCTAAAAAACCATATTAAATATTAACAAATATTTATTTTTACTATGAAATAAACTCAAATAATAATAAATTTTAAGTAATTATCATAATGGTTTTCGTTTAGAGCAATTTTTGAAAAAATCTAAACAATAGAATGTACATATTAATTTTGAAATATTTTGTGTTTTATTTTTTTCTTTTCAACTCAGATCTTCCTTAAATAATAACTAGATGCAAATATTATTTAAGGAAGATTTTAAGATTGAATTTGAAATTTGGTAAAAAAATTAAATGCAAATATTTTAATATTCAGTTTTGTTATAATATTTTTATTACAAATTTTGAAATATAAAACGAAATTTTATTTCATAATTTCTAAAAAACCATATTAAATATTAACAAATATTTATTTTTACTATGAAATAAACTCAAATAATAATAAATTTTAAGTAATTATCATAATGGTTTTCGTTTAGAGCAATTTTTGAAAAAATCTAAACAATAGAATGTACATATTAATTTTGAAATATTTTGTGTTTTATTTTTTTCTTTTCAACTCAGATCTTCCTTAAATAAATCCATAATATATTGCACACAGTTTTTGAAATTATGTAAACTAATTATATATTTTGCATTCAACACAAATTATGCAACAATAGCATATCCCTTTTATAGATGTATCTAAAACTTTTATTTTTAGTCCAAATATTAAACTAATTATGATTAAACAATGAAAAGAAGAATATGCAAAATTTAGCTAAGGAAAGAAACATTAATAAATTTGTTAAAATATTTGTAACTTTAACATCATACATATTAATCCGCAAAACTCACAGTATGTATTTTATGGTATTTTAAAGTAAGCAAACAAGAATTTGGAACATGGTTTTAATGGAATGAAATGAGAATAAGAATTACGAGACGGGATGGCAGAGGAACATAAATTAAAAATCAAACTTAATACTCAACTGGTATGAGTTTGTGTTATGAGCACTATATAAAATAAATTTGTTTACACACATAACCTTATACGTACATTTTTAGTTACAATTTATGACAGATACGGGACCGTAATATTTTTATTTCACGTATACGAGACGGGTTATGGGACGAAAAATTTATGACATATACAAGACGGGATAGGTTTCCTGTTCCAAAATAGTTACGCCTAGCTAATATATATGAAATAATCCAAACTAAACCGAATATGTATCCTATTTAACACATGTAATCAAACTGTTAGAAATGTTTTGAATAGTTTAGAAAATAAAAACGTAACATCACTTAACTTTTGCAACTAAATAATATCTTAATTTTATATTAAATACAATTTCACACGTACGTGTAGGTCCGAATCTTAAAATATAACTATGCACTAACGCAACTAAATTTCGTTCATTACTCTAACTTTATAATATCTATATTATTACAAAGTTCACTAACACAACAAAATATTTTATATTTTTAAAATCTATATAACAATTTCTAAAAAAATATCTCTGCACGTACATGTGGATCTAGATCTAATACACTAAAATATACATCATAAAAACAATAAAATAATCTATATTGTATGAAAATTTGTAAGAAATGTTTTTGAAATATGAAACCCCGCACGTACGTGCGGGTCAGGATCTAGTATATAGATAAAGACTAAACCTAATTTCCTAAATTAAGATAAAGATAAATGTAAAATATACTTTAGAGATAAATGTAAATATTCCAAACTAATATATGATAATCTTCTAAATCCTTCTTGATCTTCATGATTTCCTTATTCTTGGGCTTCTCATCTCGACCGACGATCTCGGTAGATCTCCTGTTCCCCCAATACCCCCCGACAAGCTCATACGTGGTAACACGTGTGAGATTGGACAAATCTTCAAAATAACGGCTTTATACTCGGCCGTCGGGTCATCGACGTTTATACCCGGTCGTGGGGTCAAAGCGGCTACAATATCCAGCCGTCGGGCCATCGGCGTTTATACCCGGTCGTGGGGTCATCAACGGTGGAAAATACATCTTTCGTAGTTGTGTATCTCCATCGATTTAAAATCACAAGTCTTGGTCGCTCTTTGAACTTCTTGTTCATGAAGAAACTTATGTTAGATTCAAATACCTCCGGATCAGCATCGTATCCGTCGGAATAATCTTCATGCAAAACTTTATTGTTTGTTCATGCCATCTTTGTAGTGGTGGTGACATCAACAAGCCAACATCGTCTTCTTTCTTCTTTCTTTCTTTCTTTCTTTTTTTTTTTTTTAAACAAAAATCTTTTTGTAGTTAGATTAATGTTTTGAGAAAAAAGAAAATCAATCGTAAGCATCTTCATGATTTCTTCTTCTCCAAGTTGATAGCAATTTGCTAGTCAAAAACAAACCACGTGACCAATCAAGGCAAGATCACGTCTTCTTTTTTTTTTTTTCTTTTTCATTTTTTTTTTAGTAGTAGCGGAAGCAAACAAATCCTTAACCCATAGGAATAGGATCAAGGCTCTGATACCATGATAAATTGATGAGAGTAAGAACACAAAGATGTTTAGGAAGAATTATAATTAGAATCTCATAAGATTCATGTTCTAAAATACATCGATATATATAGAGAAAGACTAAACCTAATTTCCTAAATTAAGATAAAGATAAATGTAAAATATACTTTAGAGATAAATGTAAATATTCCAAACTAATATATGATAATCTTCTAGATCCTTCTTGATCTTCATGATTTCCTTATTCTTGGGCTTCTCATCTCGACCGTCGATCACGGTAGATCTCCTGTTCCCCCAATACCCCCCCCCCCCGGCAAGCTCATACGTGGTAACACGTGTGAGATTGGACAAATCTTCAAAATAACGGCTTTATACCCGGCAGTCGGGTCATCGACGTTTATACCCGGTCATGGGGTCAAAGCGGCTACAATACCCAGCCGTCGGGTCATCGACGTTTATACCCGGCCGTGGGGTCATCAACGGTGGAAAATACATCTTTCGTAGTTGTGTATCTCCATCGATTTAAAATCACAAGTGTTGGTCGCTCTTTGAATTTCTTGTTCATGAAGAAACTTGTGTTAGATTTAAATACCTCCGGATCAGCATCGTATCCGTCAGGATAATCTTCATGCAAAACTTTATTGTTTGTTCATGCCATCTTTGTAGTGGTGGTGACATCAACAAGCCAACATCGTCTTCTTTCTTCTTTCTTTCTTTCTTTTTTTTTTTTTTTTTTTAAAACAAAAATCTTTTTGTAGTTAGATTAATGTTTTGAGAAAGAAAGAAAATCAATCGTAAGCATCTTCATGATTTCTTCTTCTCCAAGTTGATAGCAATTTGCTAGTCAAGAACAAACGCACGTGACCAATCAAGACAAGATCACGTCTTCTTTCTTTTTTTCTTTTTCTTTTTCATTTTTTTTTTTTAGTTGTAGCGGAAGCAAACAAAACCTTAACCCATAGGAATAAGATCAAGACTGAAACCATAATAAATTGTTGAGAGTAAGAACACAAAGGTGTTTAGGAAGAATTATAATTAGACTCTCATAAGATTCACGTTCTAAAATACATCGATATATATAGAGAAAGACTAAACCTAATTTCCTAGATTAAGATAAAGATAAATGTAAAATATACTTTATAGATAAATGTAAATATTCCAAACTAATATATGATAATCTTCTAGATCCTTTTTGATCTTCATGATTTCCT